TCTGGCACATTGTGAAAAGCACTCAAACAGTAAACGAAAATGGCCTTTACAGATGACTGCTAATATATTGGATAGTTTTGGCAAATCTATTGTAAATTTCAGGTGAGAACGAGCCCCTTGGTAGCACAGTCGGCAGCGTAACCATCCGGAGAACGGGGCGTCGTCAGTTCGAACCCCCAGATATGTCCTCTCCTTTGTGCTACGTTTACTTGGGCTTTCCGTTTCAAAATCCTCACTAACGCAACGGGTGTGGAGAATTTACTTTCATAATGAAGCGGTCGCTTTGTATACTACATGACTCTGAGAGATGAAGGAGGCCTAAAGAATAACCTCCTTGGCAAAAATACGTGGGACAAGGAAGGGGGAAAGTCCTGAGGGAATCGGATTCGATCTCCATCCACTACAGTTGCAAGCAAATTCAGGTGTGTAAATTAACCGGCCGTAAAGACCAGTTTTTCGGTAGAAAGCTATCGATCGATTCTGCCCATTAAAATATTCTTTCCACTGAATACATGACTATGTTTTTCGCTTGGGGCAAGTTGCAGTAGCATGTCAGCATTTTTTAAATGTGTAAACAGGTTGCTCGAGAAAAAATATTGATGGAATTTCGCTCGTAAAATGCCAATTAAGCGCTAGTGTTCTCGTTTTGCGTGATTCATCAGAGCTTTATGCGAGTCTGAAACACTTTCGAATGAATGGAAACAGGTTAACAACTTCGTCAGCAATTCCAAAGTGCGAAGGAACTAAACATGCGTACTTTGTACACACTGACTTTTGAAACTTCTATGAAATGAACGCGGATGAGGTTGCATTGTTTTCTTGTCTTTCACAGTAGGTGCTTGCAAGCACGGAACCCCATGGCATGCTTTGAAATCGGGTGAGACCACATAAAGTGTCCAACCTTGAAAAGATAACGTTCTGCTGAATGTACTGAGATTCTGCCATGTAGGTGGAATATGCGGCATTCCGTTTTCCTGGAGGAAATCATCACATTAGTTTACAAAATCCGACGTGGTGTTTATGATGTACACACCGCGATTTGAGGGTAGTCTCCTTTGTGTGGTACTTTGTTCGCAATACGAATGACTCACTGGCTAAATATCTATTTGAACTGTACTGTCAGACGTCAGCATCACACATCTAACCCATCCAGTGGTTATTGTTTCTCGTACTGACTGCGACTCATGCAGTCTATCCCAGTCGGTAGAGCAAAAATTCACATATGTGTGGTTGTGCTGGGAATTTATTTATCATCTGTTTGTGTGGAGAATTTGTAAGTAAGAAGGGGATTTTGAAGTTTAAATGGGGGTTTCATCTTGCACGTGACATAAACCTGTGAAGCACTGTGCAGTTGCCTCTGCTTTGTCAGTTATCGTACGGAGTTCCCACTCTTGGATGATTTTGGTTTATGTTAACCGGCCATAAGTAGCAACTCAGAATTCGAAAAATACGCTCATTTGCAAATCAGTTTGGTTTTCACGAGAGACTCAACTGGATCTCTCGTTTATGATATCCTACAACTCAATGTGCTGCACACAGGCCGCCTCATGTTTTAGTAGATAAGTTTTCAGCAACCCTGTGAGTAGTTTACTTCATAACAAATCAGCGGTCCAACGCACTCGCACGTAGGCGGGATGTATCAGCACAATTTTCAATCATGCAGCATATGTCACTGATCGGTGCTGACTACCTCCTGGACTTGGCAAATTATTCATTTGGACAGCATTATACTGCGGGTTCATGTACCGAGGCGTTTTCAATTTACGAAATTTCGTCATTCTATCTGTTTTAGGTGATCGGTGGCCTGGTGTTCCACGCACAAAAATTTGTCTTGGTTTCTGAAGAATCTATTCCCATGCACACATCCTGTGTGAGAAATAACGGAATGTAATTATCCGTGAAAATTGCAAGTTGAATTCCGACCTGATCACCCCATTTTGATTGGACTTATACGTTGCTGTAAATTAAATCTGAAAATTCCGCGCAACTGACCTGGATTGAACAACAGGTTCAGTTTTATCGTCTTGAGAAGGTACAGCACACATAGGGAGGTTGAAAACTCTTCGACAGCCGACGACCAGTCTTAGCTTTCTCGTGTCTCATCAGGTAAGGACGGCTTCGGGTTTCGATGAACTTGATGTTCCAATTGCACATGAAATCGTGCGCAGTCGGTGAAAAGCACTAGGCTGAGATTCCGTCCTTTCAGTGAAACTAATCAATGTCAAAAGCCTAGAAGCATTGTACATCTGTTTCGTCCTTACTGGAAATCGTCGGCAATGCGAATGTCACGAAACTCTACTAGATGGTCTAGAACCCGCAACCTTCCGGCAAGCGGTCGATCACATAACTGTTAGGCCACGAGTAGCTGAACAACAGCGTGATTGGCTGGACGTAAAGCCACTCATTCTTCTCGAGTGACGACTTCTCAGCTAGAGGTTTCACTTATCTTGTGTAATTATTCCCCTTCTGAGCAAATTACTTGCATGGTTATAGGATACTCAACCGAACCCCAGTCAAAGCTCTCTTATGATAGTAATCAACTGAATGGGACTGTGGTTACCCGATGTACTCGAGGGACAGCGAAACCAGTGATAATCTATCAAAGTTATTGTAGAAATGGTGAGCATAAATCCCACTTTCTGCCCAGTTCATCCTTTTGCGCAATAGCATTGACGCTCCCCGTTTCTACCCGCATTTTCTAACCCTACCGGGTTTATGATATTCAGGATCGAAAGAACTAGCTGTTCACTGAGCTTGTGTCCCTTAAGACTAGCTACATAAGTTCTAGCAGAGTTTCCTCAGTGAAGCGATACCAAGCACCATTAAGGATACTTTGGTAGACATACTGATGTCTTAATTCAAGCTTCTTTCGACGTATGCGATGCTCATACAATCAAACACATACAGATACAATACATACATCAAATTCAAATGCTTCGGTGTAGTAATACAAAACAGTATATTGTTTCACCCATGAGTTTTGCTCTCTGTGCAGTCGAGATTTTTGGTCTATTTGGGTTAATTCGGAGGTAAAAGGCGGTTTCCAGCATTAGTGAATGGTAAGAAAATCATATTCTTCATGGACGTCATAATAAGCATGCCCCGGATCGAGAATGATACCGGGACATTTCCAGATCCAAGAATTGACCAAGAATTTACTACGCACTATGTAAGGGGATTGGAATTGGTGGATGCCCTAACCAGAGGATGATTCCTGGAAACATCAAAACCGAGAGATTTAGCTGGGTTCCAGGTGAGTCTCTCGCAAAACTAAATTAATTTGCAAACGAGTTTATTTCGCTTGGTTCATGCAATGACAGTTCAAGTAGAACATAAGTTTGACGGAAACTTGGGGATAGCGCCTACCCAACCAAGAAGGGCGAAACCGGTCGTAAACTGTCGGGAAGTTTTTAGCAAACTTTTGAGTAGTGCATTGCAAAGACAACCCCTTCAGTTATATAACTATTTTCCAGTTTGTAAGCAAGTGGCAGGCTTTCGAAATTCACCTCAAGAAAGTTCGAAACGTAAAAGCGAGGCATCTCTTTGGCTGACTAGATTTCATACGCAGCACAGAGTTATGTCATCAGAACCTCTCATGAAATCACAAGTGGGAGATGATGGTAGTTGCTGAGGGGAAACATTCGACCTGGACAAATCATTTCAGCTTGTAGAAAGGAGAGAATTCGAGGGTCACTGGGCATTATGTTATCGACTGGACATTCTAAGTGACATGCTTGTTTAAACATGAGACTTTTAAATTAAAACAACTGTTAGTAAGCTCAAGAAAAACAGATAGTCTCAATAGCTTTTACCAAAGTCTACCAAAATGTATGTTCTCCTTATGAGGACCCTTAATGCAACCGAATCGAACAGTCAAACAGTATCCATTTAAATCCTCATTGAAAATAATCGTAGATGTCCTCTTATTGGTGTTTTGGGTATGTTTACTGCTGTTTTAGACACGTGAATGACTGGCAAACAGTGTAGACTGTGTCACAAGACCGACGTATTGCATCGGTTTCTGTTTCAAAACATCCTGTAGTGATATTTTCACGGTTATGTCCATACGAGTGAAAACAACCCACCCATTGCCCCTTCTGCAAACGTGGGAGACAGACGCCTGGTATCTCACATCACAGTTTTTCCAAGAATTTTGCTTGGAATCTTCCAGATTTCGGAAACAGTGGGGATGAATTCAACGTTTAGTCACTTATTCTCGAGAATTACAGGCTAAGTTGGCTTCTAGGAGTCCAGTGTCCATCTCAACACCAGCCTATGGAATTACTAGAGGCGCCCAAAACCTCGTACATTTCTCCAGCCTACAATTTCCTTTTCAAATCCACTAGGATATGCAATACAAGTAGATTAGACAGAATGACCAGTAGTCTTTGATATTTAGTGGTGGGGAGCAAGATTATGGGGTCGCAGGCTGGGGTAAAATTTCGTCGTGATGATTCAGCTAGCGTCATTGACCTACACTTGCAATACATACAATTACTCGACGAATCGTTTGCAGGCCGACTGTCAAGCTCGCCGAACAGATCAACAGCCACCTGATCAACAACCAATCGACCCTCGTTGCAATACATACAATTACTCGACGAATCGTTTGCAGGCCGACTGTCAAGCTCGCCGAACAGATCAACAGCCACCTGATCAACAACCAATTACTCGACCCTCGTGTGCGACAGAAATATAAAAAGGAAAGTCCAGCAAAAAGTCGATTGCATGGGACCGGTTTTATCTACAGAAATGCATGTTACAACAACCCCCCTCCCTAACAATAATGCATCTCGAGGTGATTTTGTGCGAGAATTCTTTTGTTCAGATTTTTTTTGCCAGTTTGTAACGTTTCACTCAAAGATTTCACCAAGACGAATAGGTGACTCGTAAGAAATTCCACGTCTTTGTACACGTTTACTGTACTTAATAGAAGTGGCCAGTTGCTTAGGAGACGTTTACACTAAGCATGTGATCATATATTCGTCCCAAATAGTGAGTTAGAAGCCTGTCGGTCTCCAGTTTGAATGCATCAGTCGACAATGCGGGACAATTTCTGGATGGGCTAAAAGGCATATTATTTCTCTCCCAAGAGTTCCATTATTGGTTCCTCGGCAGTCCAGAAGATCAGCGACCATCGTCCTTGCAGCATTTATATCAGCCGACGTGAACAGTGAAGTTACGCCAAAGAAGAATTTTATTTCATCTTTGACACGCTTCTTAGCCCATCGAAAAATTGTCCTGCGTTGTCGACTTAATACCAGGAATGTTGAACCACATGGAAAATCAACTAACTTAATAACGAACAATGGACAAATCAGATCAAAGAAAAAGGGACACCAAAAATAGAAGGTTGTCCACTTAATCAGTTGGAATAAGAGTGGACCACAAAGCAAGCAGGAAACGTCCCAATCCCAAGGGAGGAAGAAACTTTCGAACCGGAAGCACCAAACGTACCAAACAGATACACCGAGGCGAAACCAAAACGCAACCCAGATTTCAAGCTGGCTAACCAAAATTAGGTGAAAGCGACCTCGTGACCAACCACCCAGTTCAGAGGTATTCGATACTGTTCAAAAACTATATAAGCACAAGCAGAAGAGGAGGAATTCGACACCTAATCATTGATGATGCAGATACACCGAGGCGAAACCAAAACGCAACCCAGATTTCAAGCTGGCTAACCAAAATTAGGTGAAAGCGACCTCGTGACCAACCACCCAGTTCAGAGGTATTCGATACTGTTCAAAAACTATATAAGCACAAGCAGAAGAGGAGGAATTCGACACCTAATCCCACATTGATGATGGCACCTCCACTGATGGTGAAACGCTTGTAGTTCAACCACCAAGCTCGGTGAACTGAACAAAAACCAAGCTTCCAGGTTATCCTTATTCTGGAGCGTCTCGTTGAATATATTCTATAGTTTCCTACCCGTACACGCGGTGTAGAAGATGAATCATTCTGTGGAACCACTTAAGAACGGGCAGCCATTAAAGATTCTGGTTAAATTGCGGCTTTAGTCAACAACTATGTACTAAAACATGTTAGAAAACAGAAGGATTCATTGTTGAAATGTCAGGTGATCAGACATATCTGCGCGTGGCCCCGAGTTAGACCTACCGGAATCGGTTGCGACACTAGGATATCAAAATACAGACATTGTGGAAAGAGATTCAGCAAAGTTAACCAGGAAAATGGCAGCACAAATCTATTCTGCTACCACTGAATGGGAGCAGGAGGGAGTGCATCCCATCACAACAACGTCTATTTCGGGACAATTACAAGGTTTGTTATCACGTTATTAGCATTATTATTATTACTGATTTACTCAAAATGAACGAAGAGTTCGTTAGTATTCACGGGTTTGTGAAGTCAAAGTGAGGAAGGATCTTTGGAAAACAATGTTACTCTGGGGAACTCTGGCACTCACGACCGCTTATTTTGGAATCGGCAACGTTTCGAGTGTCTGTACTTTACTTTAGGTACAGTGTCAGAGAGACGCCTCCACCGAGGAGTCATTACAAGCAGAAGTATATATTCCGCTAGATTCTTTCCTTAAGAAACCCATCCCACCGAACGACTCCGCAAGGTGATGGTTTACTCCGCAAGAGGAACAAAAATACGATTGAATTGCCCCAGTTCTCTACTAAGCAATCGATCACCCGTTGTCATTATCACTGCGCAAAAATTTTCCAGCCACAAAAACAGGGTTCTTTTGACTGGATTGAACTGGGTTTGGCCGGTGATTACTACGCTCTATGTGTACAGAATCACCCGAACAAAGATGTCGCAACTACAACACGGATCGAAGTTATTGAATCTGATGGAGAACCGGTTTATGTAAGGCAGAAGAGGTCGAAAGTCACGACCCTCCGAAAAGCACTTTGCTCTAGTCTGTGCCAAAAGAAACATATTAGTAGAGCATAATCTTGTTTTAAGCGGTTCATTTGCATGTTTGATTTGGCCGCACAAATTGATGTGGATCGATTGGTTTAACTGGTTATCTTGCAGGTTGATCACATTGTCCTGGTATTTCCCAAACATCGGCATGCGAGAGCACTAAAACGCTGCTCCAGGTAGAACGAAAGAATCCACCGCACTTGCATACAAGTTGTCCAAAGTAAATAGATGTAGTTAATTATGGGTGGTAATGGGATAGTTCTAATCTGTTCACATCATTTTGTTTGCGACCCCTGTCAAAACACGAAAACCCTGGCCAGTCCAAATGAAACAGGGAAGAGACGGGATTCGAATTTCATTTTCAGTAAAGTTCGCCATTCACCTGCACCTTCGGCCATACCATAAACCAAAAAGGTTTTGCTTTCATTGTGTGGGTGTAAAACGTGGATGATATGGTCGCCTCTGTCCGAGGATGAAAGAACCCCAGTAAGGAGACATGTTAATGTCTCCAGATGGCTTGGGATAATATACAATTGTCATTACCCGAGTATAAAATATCGACTTTATTTACGGTGAAAAATGCATAAATTCCTATGCAGTTGTCGTTGCGATAGCGTATCACTAGTCCAGGCGGAGAGATCGCTTAGTTTTGTTAAGACCCGTGGAACAGCTGTACACGCAGTATCCGGGTTCATTGAAGAGTGTTCTTCCTCCTTAGTTTTCTCTGCTCTTGAGAATCTCTGCGTCCTACAAAAATCAAATAAGGCGCAAACTTTTTTGGCACTTCTTTCAAGGTGATTTTTAGCCAATTTTTATTTGATGAATACCACACCTAAGAGAGGACAAATGCGAAAGTGCAAAGAATTACACGTGAAGCCTGGTACAACGATTCTGAGGATTTTAAAATAAAGAAAAGACTTGGAAAATGAAGAAATGAAGTAATATATCCTACCATTCTACTTGAAACAGAATATATGAAAGTGTATAGAATCTGTACGTGACATTCGTTTTGGAAGAAAAGAGCAGTGATCACTTGCCCAACAGTTGGGTAGTGATTCGCTCTCTTGTCAGTTGTGCATGCCAGTCAATAACATTGAATCTGCGCAAGGTTGTAGTTAGCTGTCGTCGGGAACTCCTAGTTGGTAACTTCTGATCAGCATATAATCGAATGAACCTTACTATGTGCTAAGACTGTTACGCTGTCCCAGTGCCTCGTTCTAATTTAGAAGGATCAGAGAAGCACGCAGATACCCATGTTCATATTTCCAAGGCCGCTGATCAACAGCCTCAGTGACTCGCGGGGCCTGACCCAACGCCATTTTCGACGACATTAAAATTACTGAAATGGCCCAACCGAACCAAAAGTAGTTCCTTCTCATTTCGCCAAAGCGTGATTTCATCGTGAAAGCGTTCACAGTGCAAATGGGTCTCACAACCGACATCGAATTCGGATGAATCTGGGGGGTTTTCGGCACCAGAAAGTACTCCGACACTGAAAAACGTGTATCAGCGTCGAAACGTGCGTGAGAGTTTATGAGAGCAGGGAAACATTCGGATAAGGGCTTGCAGTCCATAAAAAGTTACTCAGATGGTGATCAGATTATCAAGCAAGTGGAAAAGTAAGCGGCTGCGGTTTGGTGCAAATACACACAAGCAGTGACAGCTTCGGTTGGCTTGAGCATTGTTAAAATAAATTGAATTTGTTTTCCGCCCCATTTACATGTTTTTTTTTAAATTTTCCTGTTGAGCAAACTATCCGAAGGACAAACTTTCTCGTTTCTTATATCCAGCCGGGATGGGTTGTTTTTTTTCGAAAATCCCCAGGACAGTTGACGTTCCTCATAAACTGTTTTAGGAGGAAGAATTTTGGAAGGGAATCATCATTGACATGAAAAAACTGTCGAGTAAACAGCAAATCATCATGCCGCTTGCCTGGAATCCGTTGGGTTGTGTCATTTCAGCTATCTGAAAGACAGGATGTGTCCCTGAGACCAGCTCACCGCTTTTTCCACCACGCCTCGTGATTGATATTTCAAAAACATCTAAGCTACGACTTTGGTGTCACTAAGTGAGTATCGAGCAAACAAACGTCCAATTGAACTAACAGTTTTCCACGAGTTTCGCTCGTCCATGAAGACAATGAGGTAGTCGGAAGTCAAATACAGTGTGCAGTTGTGATTTAACCAGTTTTATGTAGAACTCAGCAACAGTTAGCAAATATACACTCATTTGAAAACTAATTTGGTTTTTCAAGAGACTCACTGGAAACATCATAAACGAGAGATTCAGCTGGGTTCCAAGTGAGTCTCTCGAAAGAACCAAATTAGTTTGCAACTGAGTGTATATCCGCTAATTCCGCGCAATTCGGTTTCAAGTAGAACATAAAGTTGGCGGAAACTCGGGGACTGCCCTACCTGATGAGCCCCAAGAAAGGCGAAACCGGTCGTGGGCTGTCGACGGATTTTCAGCAACCTTATGAGTAGTGCATTACAAATATCGACAATATTTAGTTTTGACAGGCTACTTATAGAAGAAAAAATTATCAGTCGGCTTACCAGCGGACCTTCGATTTACAATAAAGTCTCTCAATAGATAGGCTGTAAGTAATGAGAACCCCGCATTTCAGGCATTTTGTGAACTACACTTGGGTGCAGCAGTGAAATTGTTACCAGAATTGTTGGAACCCAACTGACCTCTGATGGGGCTGTAAATAGGATCGAATAGTTGAAGTACAGCTATGCACTTTTCCGAAACCGCTATTGTCCTTGAGTTACTCAGGGAAGTGATTTAGCTACAAAACATTGAGTGCCTCAGCTGACTGTGATGAAGAAATGACCAGGAGCTTACGGTAAGTTGAATTTACGATGCAAATTATCATGCAAGTATGTGAAGCGATTGCACAATAACCATCCCATTATATATATATATATATATATATATATAGCGATCGCTGGGCCAATACAGAGATGTCAGACCGTCATCGAAGTGTAGATTAAAGTAACTTCGAAAATTTGAAGCGATAGATTAGAAGCGCTGTTTCTCTGTCGGTTCATGTGCTCCTCATTGTTGATTAGCGCTAATGAATTTGTAGGTTCCGGGCGTCTCCAGGAGCTTCTTGATAAGATGGAGGTCCACACCGTTACGTAAACTTCTAATGTGAGCAAATCGTGTATCAAGTGTAAAGCTACACTTGTGTCAACAAATTAGGCCATCTTTGTCGTCAGCATTCTGAATGCTGATTATCGTTTGGCCAGTGGTTTTCATGAATGTTGGTTTTGCTATTTTGCCGTTAGAACTATTCTTTACGCGATATTGAAGCTGAAGATTCCTGATGCCATGATTCCTGGAGAGTTGGCTTCCATTTATGATAGTCTACTGGAAAAACTGGGAATTTAGTGGTTTGGTAGAATCCCATATTCAATGTATAAGAATTAAAGCTGGAATGGAAACAACCCAAGAGGTGAAATGGAGTGTAAGTGAACAGAAAAACTTATTAGAAGATTAGACAGTTGACTTGAGAGCCATTCGGTTGTTACACCAAGTTGGAGATTTGGTCGACCTATCCCTATAGGGGCCTCCATTTCAGAAAGAACCATTCCTAATAGGAATAGAAGATGGTCGTTAAAGGTCCACTGTAATCTGCCAATTGATTGAATCGATATTCGAGATAATCCATTTGGGTTTTTCAACCCACAGAGTTGTATAGGTGGGCACGAGGTGCTGGTTATTCCGAATTAAGTTGACTTAAGTTCTGACTGACAGAAGATTACTGACACAAAGGTAAACCGTGCATTAATCACTGAGCGTATTCGGACAGTTAACCAAGTTTGTACCCCGTGGTGTGCCTTGAGCGCCGCCCTAAGTTCCGGTCCGTAAAAAATTCCTCGTAATAATTAGCCTTCTAACTCAAACATTAAGATAAAGATGTGGTCAAAAATGAACCATCTCTTCCATTATTTCCATGCTTTTGTTGCTTTTCTTTGTTCCAACCCGGTGACAAAACAAATGCAAATATAATGTAGTGTTCTTCGTTTTAAGAATTTAGCATGATTTTGAACACTATATCGTCTGTTATGCGTTGCAAGCTGAAGGCCTCATTGACAGGTAAAAATCCCAGTCGAAAAATACGACTTAACCGGAACAGAATACGTTTACTCTCTCCCACCGAAAGACAAGTTCTCCGAAGCGGAATAATTTATTAAGACTAGCTAGATAATCAGCACAAAAATAACGTAACATTACGTGAAACCATGCTTGATTCTGTGCACACTTAGATTTATGTAATCCGCATGAATTCTGAATTTGGCTGATTGGCCGAAACACACAGGACTAACTGGGTACCTTAAAAACCATCGAGCAGGGAAAACTTTCCAGAATGCTTATTCCCTACTATACCCTGTATGGTGAAATTCAGTACGGAATTACGTTGCTTTGCTTCAGTTTGGATTTTCACAATCGCTTGAAAATAATTGGTCCATGCGAAGCTGAATTAAACGGAATGTGGTAGGTGTGTGTTATGCCAAATCAGCACCCAGTTGTTAGGATTCTGGGGTGACTGTCAAAGGTGTACCCCCAAAACCGACAGTCTGTGCGAAACTCAATTTAAAAAACCTGCGGCTCAGATGGTTACTGGTTACCAAATTTTAACCATTTGGGTATCGAAAGCAACGAATAATCCAATCTGAAAGCTTGGGTGCACATTTTTAGTACAGGACCAATAGAAATCACTCCACAAGCGTTTTCAATACGATTGATTGGATAGGTTAGGGATGTGAGATTCGCGTTGATATGGTTTCCATATCACTACCGATATGCAGATAAGATGGATTTGGTCCAATGAACCAAATACACAGTAAACTCTGAAAAATACAATAGGCAATAAGTCATAATCCCAACAGTTCACGAGTTTCATTCGAACCCAGTTCTCTAAGAGGCTAGTGAGCCCTCTTCTCACAGACACCTTGCTTCATTGAGCCATCAGAATAACCAAAGCGACTTACCATGGTTTCATGCCATGCTGCACTTCATCCGGCAATGCAATTTTCTAAAATTATAGTTGGTAACTTATGAGTGTGGTAGTCACCTTGTGGCAGTTATGCATTTCTGCCTTTAAAGGTTGATTAGAAACAATTACTCGAGGATCGATTACCCTGGTACAGACTGTCATTGATATCATTTCCAAATGTACCGTCAACTTCGGCTGACTTTGCGTAAGCTCTCGAGCAAACCACAAACTTTTTTCTCAGGCTACGTTAGGTGGCCTAGTCATAGCAGCGGAAAGTGCACCCGAGTTGAATCTTGCTCATTATTTGGTGGACAGTAGGTAATTCACAGTAATTTTGTGGAGAAAAATCTGACATCAACTCTGTTCGTTCTCATTTAAAACTGAACAACCTGCATATGATCACCAATACGTACCTGCTTACTGTCGTCTATGAGGACTTCAAGAATAGTTTCGGGGACTCTTTTTCTCACGTAGTTACACAACTAAAGTTGAATGAGGTCTAAGGAGACTACGAGTAAACTAGTTGCGATTTCGGTCCAATTTAAAGTACACACTGATCAGTGTCTACAAAAACTAAATGTGGGTGGTTTGGCCAATTTATTTTATATACCAACTTCAAATGCTTTTGCATAAAAGAATAATTAGAGTACAGTGTAATTCTGTGACATCGCTCATAGAAAGTGATATTTGTATAATCATAACATTTGTAAGTTAAGCACAGGTTGTAAGTGGGCAGTAACTGGAATGCAGTTTTCGTCTTTTTTAGGTATTCTCTAGAACACTCACCCGCACAAACAACCAGTTATCATATAGATCAAACCTGATTGTTTTAGGATCTGGAATGCAGTCAGAGGCCTCGTATTCCTTGTAGAAAGTTCGTTGAATCATGTATGGCCTCGTATTGTTTGGAGCTTCCAAAGCAGATGCAGTTACACAAACCGATCGATCCATTATTTTTACGGTTATCTTGTCCCTGGAGTAGATCCGGTCCAATGGTATCTTGAGGATTAGTTCGTTACCCTCTCTTTTTGTTTGATGCTTATCAAGTTGATGGAAAACAGCCTCCTTCGGGCCAGGGGGAGAAATGCTCACAGTTTCAGCATTTGCAGGTGGTGATGCAGCATGTTCGGTTTTCTGACTGTGCTGATCGACTGCGCTGCAAATTTTCAGAACAAGGGGTATATCGATCACAAGAAATCCACTTCGTCGAAGCACAAACGTTGTATGCTTCAGTTCGGTACCAGGTGGAACGGAAAGCTGTTGCCGTACGTATCGCCTGACTATTAACTCACCGTCATTTGTTTCACTGCTAGCCGAAATTACAAGTTCACTCGTTGACTGGGCTTGAGCTGATATTGATTCTCTGCCTATACCCCTGGCATCCAATATAATCTTCAAGTAGCTCCGGTTAGTGGTGGCATTCACGATGAAAAATGTACAGACGTGCTCGAGAATAGAGGACATTCGGCCAAATAAATGGTTGACAATTCACTTAGATTCCAATGAGATTCGCAAACCATAGTGCTGCTCGTCAGACGGAACAGAGGCCTGGATAGCGTAATTTATATAACCCATCGTGAGCCACAAACATACCTGCTTGTGCTTTTTAAGCCACTCACATACCGTTTATATCCTAAGTAATTAAACAAACGCGGATCTATTTACAAATAAAATTTTAGACAGTTTTCGGAACGATTACATCACCTTGCTTTCATCCAGGTGCGTGGAATCTGAACTCGAAGAGTATTTGTTTGAATCGATCCAATTTTTTACCGCGCCATACGGTACTTTACGGTGCGTCTTGCCGTCGCGCGGTTGACGTCCCGCCACTCAAGTGTGATGTTTATTCTAAGCTAGCTTATGCTTGAAGCACATGAATCTCACTATGAGTGATATATCTATCGGGACAGGGTCACGGACTAATGGAGCTACCAGCAACAATTCTGAGGACCGTAACTGCCACCGCAACCAGATCAATTCCTCTGAAGCTGCCGGTCGTCCTTTAGCCATTCTACCGATTAATACGCTTCACCATGGTATTGGTTTGTTCCCACACCTTAACATACCTCGTGAAGTGGGGACAACTGCGCCGCTTGTTAACACACCGACAAACAACCGTTGCTCGTCTATACCAGGCCCAGTTCCCAACACATCAAGTAATGCAATGAGCACTACCTCGCACACTTCGCCAGATTCAAATGCTGTTGATCTGGCCAGCCTCTTCGAGTGCCCTGTGTGTATGGATTACGCTCTCCCACCCATTCTGCAATGCCAAAGCGGTCATATTGTATGTGCCTCTTGTCGTTCGAAACTCTCCTCATGTCCCACCTGTCGTGGAAATTTGGGTGAGTTCAGCATTCTTTTCAAATCTCGGTTTGCATTTTGACACACTCAATGTTTGATTACTATCACGGGCAATACATCATGGTTCACACCGTCCGCTTAAAAGAACGCGGTTCGGTTAACAATTTGCTGCACACCAATAGGGCTTTTTCTCAAGTGTTCCCAGATGTTTTTCCGAACTTCAGACTTAGGTGAAAGCGTTATAATGCTGTGGCGTACGGGGACTATATGTCAGACTAGGTTAAAATTTGATATACTAGAATGGCGTCTCCCTAAAGGATAATTTAGTGAAGTGATCTTTGTAGGCCACGGGCCAACTTGATGGTCGTCTCATTTTTTGGTTGTCTTGCTTTATTTCATATTGGTGCAAAATGGTCGAATAAGTGACTTGGTTACCGCGTCGACGGAGTTTTTTAAAATTGTATGGACTAGTTAGTGTTGCAGTTGCTGCGACACACTTGCGGTGAATTAGGTTCTAATGTATTCGTCAGACGTTTCTGATCGTCTGGTTACCATGGTTCTCTGAATGACCTATTTCCAATGGACATGTGGTTGGCATAGGCCCCCTGATCCATTCTTTTATTGTGGTCGAGTCGTAGTAATCCGTTATCCCATAATAAAGGGATTGTAATGGCCGTGTAGTATGAGTACAAAACCATTAGAAATCACGTCTCTTGCACACTAGAGAACATGCAGCCAATAAGCTCACGACTGTCCAGAAATAACAATACATTCATACCAACCGAACAATCACGGGACAACATGAAGCGCCTACTCTACAAGCCGGTGGAGCAATCTGTCCGTTGAAGAAGGCAGTCTATGTCCTTTTGCTTCTGCCACCTCATGCCACCATCCAGTTCCAAATGAGAACGGGAACCAGTTGCCCTCGCTAGCTACAATCAATCACAGGTTGAATACTTAAAAAAGACGTGCAGTTTCGATGATCTTCCACACATCGCCCTCATTAAAAACGGAGACAGGTGGAACCGCAGCACTGTACACTTTACCTTTGACAGTCAAGCTGGCGTCAGACCAGTGCCACAGAATGTCGGAAGTTGGCAAACGCAAATTGACCTTCTCAATTCTTGAAGTCAAAAGTCCAGAAGCATCGCGTTTTCTGTCGTGCCAGCCCACTTCGAAAAAGATGAAGAATTCATGGCTATCCACCCGACAGAGTTTATTTGTGCTATATGGAATGGAAGTGGCTACAGAATGGGTCACTGTCATCCCCACTTTCAAAAAGGTTACGTCTACAGAAAATCGCCGTGGTGTCAGCCTGGTGTCGAAGTTGCTCCCTGGTCTCATCCATCGAAGGTCTAACACTGAGAAGCTGATCCGTCAACAGCTGAGTTCCGTCCAGTAGAAAGATATATCGACCACACATCCATTTTTCGACACATTTCGGAACAGTGACACTGCTTCCAGCAAAAGACGATGCGCGGTCTTTCTTGCCTTGAGGACTGCCGATGACTGTTTAGATTTTCAGGCACTATGGCGATGTCCATAAAACAAGGGTATCCCCCATAAACTCCTGGCCCTACTTGAAGCGCTCCTGGCTAACTGCCGTGAACGCTAGTCTTATCTGTTTGCCTGCATTCGGGAAAAGGAATCTGTCCCAAACAACTGGGAGAGTCGGTGATAGTGCCCATTTTAAAAAAGTGGCTCAGTGAGTGTGGTAACCACAGCCCATCCAGCTTGATCCCGGTCGTAACGAGTCTGTTGACGTCATTTGTGCTTCGTCGCCTTATGCTGCCTCGTGAAACACTTATTCGGAAGGAGCCAGCGGGGTTCCGGCATGGTAGGGTTTGCGTTGACCAAATCTTCACACTCCGTGTGCTAGAACAACGCCATACGTACAAACGACCCACAACTTTAGTATTCCTGGATATCCAAGGCACATTCGACTCAGTTGACCGGTCTGTCCTTTTTTTGACATGCTTGCCCACCAAGGAATGCCACGGAAGTTTGTGAACATATCAGTCCTTTGTATTCTCAGACTTCCGAACATGTAAGGGTATACGGAGAGATCTCCAAAAGCTACCGTACACAAAGCGGTCTCTGTCAGTGATACTCACTTTCTCCATTACCACTTAATTTAATGATCGATGAAGTACTCAGACGAATGCTGGAAGGTCTCCAAAACCCCGGCGCTAAAATTGTTGCCGGTGAGGAACTTGTCGATATGGAATACGCAGACGATGTCGCCCTCATCTTTAATGACGAAGGCGCAGCGCAAGCTCTGTTGGCCAAACTGACCACTATCATACTATCTTTCTGCATGTGCCTAGCACCTTCAAATCGCAGTCATGCTCCATAACGTACGGTCTCTGAACATACCCCTTACAGTTCAGGGAGAATCACCGGGGGTTGTGGAGAATTTTGCGTACCTCGATAATTTTATTAGCTCTGGCGGATGTATCGAATCGCAGAGGTCAGAATCACATTTTCACAACTAGATAATTTGGAGTCGATGCTCAGCGTACGGATAATGGGAAGTGGCTTCGTCGGTTGTGTTGAACATCATCTGTTTCCGGCCAGTATGAACTTCTAGCATCAACGCTCACATCCACTTCGAGGACACCAACCACAAGCTATTCGTGAACTCAGTTCGATCATGTAGCTATCAATTATCGATGGAGAACCTCAATCACGAATTACCGTTCCTTCTGCAGAATGTAGTTTAACCCTGACCATGCCACTGTGCAGACTCGGTCATCGGTTGGCTTTCCGTCAGCATTACGTACTCCGAAGCACAGAATCTTCGTTCATCAACTTCCACGAGCTACTGTAGCTACTGGACGGAAACGCACGGCCACTCCGATGACGAAGATTGCGTGGAGCCGGAACGGAAGCTAGTTAGGGCTCACTGTCCAAGAAATCCGAATACTGGATATAGCCAAAATCAGCCGGATCTCATTTCTGTCAGAAAAACCATACAAGCAACTAGTGACTATGATGGTGATCATAGATTCATCAAGCGTCGGACAATCATGAGCCTGATCAATGAGAAAGCTGATGGGCTGCAAAGGCCATATAGGGGGTCTTTCCCTGCAGGCAACAGCTTCATCGTTAGGCTCATTTGATCAACCGTTTGGCCCAGCATTTCGGATAAGAATTTATTTGGCCTCCGGGGGCGAGATTGCCCAGTGGTCGGCGCGAGTTTACTGTCCGAATGGTCCGTGGTCCGAACCCGATCTCTACCTCTCCACTCCCCCTGTCTAGGCGTGGGCAATCTGGCAGCATCCCAGCCCTCGTGCTTTTCGGTGGCATGGTAGTTAGGCACCGAAAGGGTGCTACAGATGAATGATTTTGACCACCTGCCACCTCCATTCCGGACTCCCGATCTCCAACAGAAAGGTGGACTATGAATATGCAGCCTCAGAAACGTTCGAGTGTACATTTCCAGTCAAGCGTCATCATGCTCCTAATCCTGAGGACCTCCCATCTGCTTTGTTCAAGGACTGCATTGAATTCATCAGCCAGTATCTGCTTAGCCTATTTGTCTACCTGGGAGACACCCTCGGACAACTGGAGCGAGTTGATAATAGCGCCTATCTTAAAAAGTGGTACTCACACTAAGTATAGTAACAGAAATGTCATCTCATACCCATCGTAACGAGGCTTCTCGCATCACTTATTCTTCATTGTCTTATAGCGGCACGCGAAACCTTGACCTGTGAGCATCAAGCGGGATTTCGACTGGGTAGAGACTGCATTGATCACATGTTCCCACTCCGTCAGGTGTTAGAGCAACGCCATATGTGCAGACGGCCCACGATCTTGGTGTTCCTTGACTTCAAGGATACATTCATTTCTGTCGCTTGGTGGGTGCTGTTAACCAAACTTAATAGGCGATTCCCTAGAAGTTTGAACATAATCTGGTTCCTGTGTTGACACACTTCGGGGCGTGATAATACATGAGGAGCTCTCTAACAGCTTCCCTACGAAAAGTGCTATCCGATGCTCGCTCTTTACGTTCTTATTTTACCATTGATGGAATAATGAAGCGAACGATGCAAGGTTTTCAAAACAGCTGTACAAGTTATTGTGGGCGAGAACCTTGTCGACCTGGAGTACACAGAACCAGGCAGTGACCCGCGTGAATGTAAGCTATCGCTTTCACTGCGCAACTTCCCCCCTTCTTCTTCATATTGGATAAACAGGACCACTTTAAGTCAATCAACTAGTTATCCTGTTACCTGAAACGCATTCCCAGACCTAATGCTGTCACCTTGTAGTGGTCGGGTTTCTTTGTTGCAATGATTCTGCGGGTTATATTGACTAGTTCAACCATGCTGAGATGACCAATGGGGAGCGAGTCTCCGTACTGCGAGTAATCGTACTACAAGGCGGTCTGGAGGTAAACTCATACTCCTCTGCGATGGGAGTGTAAGACAGGAAGACGTTTCCCTAAGGTGACCAGTATGCCCAGCTTTATGAAAGCAGCAATGCTGCCCCATCCTCCTAGGAAAGACGGGCTACAAAAGGTCGGTCCTAAAAACTGCACACTCCGATCGCCCAACAGCCTGCCACATGCAACCAAGTGAGTCAGATTATTGAGTCATGGGCTCCTGGAAGGGTCCCCTAAGAAAACCCTAACAACCACTCTCATGGGTCAGACTTTTGAGTCAGAAACTAGACACAGGGTCCCCGAACAAAACCCTGCATCCTCCCTCAGCCTCGTGGGTCAGACTTTTGAGTCGAAGGCTCAAGGTTGGGTAACTCAACTAAAACCCCTTCGGCCTGAGCAACGGGGAAGTATCATTTGCCCTTGCAGCTCTTCACTCACTGGCCTCCCACCCACCCATCGAACAATGTAGTGCGATCAACCCATCTGGCAACCCTTAGCCACTATTCCATATCTAAACCGTAGCCCAGAAGAACAAACCAAAGTAATCATTTACCAACCTCAAAAAATCTGATCCGCGTTGCAGCCTTCAATGTCTGTACTCTATGTCAAACTGGTCAACAGACGCCCCTTGCAGAAACCTTGCTTGCCCTATCTGTCGACGTACGTTGTGTATCCGAAACACGCATACAAGAGCTCACTTCGGTCGTGCATCTCAAGCCCCTCAGGACGGGCTCAGATGTCCCGCATTCCACTCTTCCAGTATCCGGTGATCCTAATGTATTGGCTCGTGCCATTTACGGTGTGAGAGTTGCACTCAGCCCCAAGGCTGAAAGTGCTTTCCTGGACTGGATCCCAGTAAACACTCGTTTGCGCTGTGTGGTATCTGGCTCGATTAAGATTAATACAGGTTGGTGCATCATCGTCATCATCATCGACAGCATGACATCACTGTTCAACACCGATGCTTCACTCCTTTATTTCGTCGTCTTGAGTGGTGGGATGAACACTTCAGCTAATCTTCAACCCAGCCCGAACGGAACATCGACTCCAACTCGCCATCAGCAACCGAAGTCTAGCGTGAGATATCAATTCTGAAGCACGACAAGTTACCTGACCCACATTGTCTGCATATCACACTCTTCAAAGAAGGTGGTGAGCTCCTGGTGAACCGTCTGACAACCATACTACAGAAGATTCGGAGCAGAAACAAAAACCAACCGAATGGAGCTCCTTGACCGTCATCCCAACTTTCAAAAAGGGTGCAAGTATGCGATGTGAAAACCACCGTGGTGTCAGCCTGGTATTAGTCGTATCTAATGTGCTCTCTGACATCATTTTGCGCAGGTTGATGTATTATCGCAAGAGAGATTTGTCAGAATCGAGCTTGGTTTCGCAATGATCGAGGATGCATCGACCATATCTTTACCTTGAGACAAATTTTTGGACAGCGCCACTTCTTCAGACGTTCTTACGTTTCATTTTTCTTGATCTGAAAGTTGCTTTGATCCCGTCCCTCTTGCGAAACTTTGACGCTGTCTGGTGATCAGAGGTGCCCCTTCAAAACTCATATATCTTAGGGGAGCACTGTATGCAAACTCTTGTGGACGCGTGCGAGTATACGGGAGGTCTTCGCCTGAGTTCACTACGTCCAGTGGTGTAACGAAGCTGCCCTCTCTCACCTTTCCTCTTCAACTTCGTTATGTTATGGTTGAAATTCCTCTGCTTGCCTCCGAAACCTCAGGAGTCGAAATGCTCCCGGACGTTCGCTCATAGATGAGTATGCGGACGATACTGCTCTGCCTCAGGTTTAACATGCGCTTCATACTTGCAAAGTGTAAGGTGATGCCACAGGACCGGGTTGAATCAAACCCAAGCCTCAACTTTGAGGCGAGCCAGTCGACGTGGTAGGTAAATTTGTTTACCTGAACAGTTGTATAAGTTCCGATGGACTGGCTGAAAATGAGATTACTTCTGGAATCAGGAAGACGAGAGTAGCTTTTGCATACCTCCGACACCTATGGCGCCGACATGACATGATTTTTTCCCTCAGCGTCAGAACTTACACTGGTGGTGCGATCTATACTGCTCTGACGCCTCCCCGGATAGGAACCTCGGGATTCAACCCATCAATGGTTGATGACACTGGCACAAATGGCCCAATCGCGCAGTTAGTGGCGCTTTTGCATCAAAGCAATCGCCTTCAATGCGTAGATGTGCCATTCCTGAACCAACTGAAAATACCATGGCCTCTAAGGCTTGGCCGTGTATCCCGCACTCTTCCACTTCCCGGTGATCAAAACCGTAGCAGCTGGAACCAGTGTGCATATAGTACATGTGTGCATGTGTACATGTGTACAGTGTGCATATAGTATAGCGCATATAGTTTAAAGCTGATAAATCTAATTTGAATTGAATCCGAACGCATGGTTCTAACTTCCTTATCCTCCCGCAAATGTAATAGCTGAAACCACCGCACTGTCCATGGAAACTGCAGAGAATGGATCCCACAGACTGAGGTAAGTGGATGAAAAATCCTTATAATGGTAGCTGTAAACTGATGCTAGCATTAAAAATGGGATGAATTATTCGTGGAGAGTATCAGTCAGTGTAGTGATTTTCTTCAATCAAGCCACATCAAGTACTGGGTTCAGTATTCTTTGTTATACATGAATCTGAGTGGGAGGTCTAAACCGAATTGAGAATGTTTTCCTTATTTTCACTGACGATTTGTGATGAAACTTCTGTGTCAGTGGAGTTTGCTGCATCTGTGTTGTTTCGGGATGCTGTTTTTCGTCTGACGGATGTTTTGGGCAAGTGTGAACTGAACTTATGTCTACATATGTGTTCCTATCCGTGGTTTCGTGTTTATAAATGCAGCTTGAAGTGTTCAGAATAGTTAAACCATCGTCCACACATGATTGCAGTACATGACAGTCAACTTTTCAGTGCTATCTTTGTTCATCACTTCAGTCACCTCCTGTTAGATGTATTCTGTGGTCATTCCATGGTTTCCTCACCGGTTCCCCTATCTTCCCTCGATTCTCACCAGACAACATCCGCAATCTGGCTATGGAGAAACTCGCCTCCAGTGTGCTGTTTCCGTGCAAGTTCTCCACCAGTGGATGTCCTGAAACGTTCCACTATACTTCGAAGGCAGAACACGAAAGCGTGTGCGAATTCCGGTGCGTTCCATTGGTCTGTTTTGTATGCGATAACTTGATAGATTCACTCCATGTGTGTATCTACTGATTAATTTTCACGCCACGGGAAATGCACATTACCAGTTTCTCTTCGGTCAATATGACTCCCGATTTGAGAAACATACTGTGTGAATTAGAACGGCGCTACCAAACCTCGGAGAGCATTCCAAGACCCGACAGTTATCAGGCCAGCATGCAAACTAACAGGTGACAACAGCTTGGAAAACAAAGGAGGAAACCAAATAACAACAAACAAGGCAACGCGTTGTATTAACTGGTGAACGTTTTCCATTAATGGAATGTGTACAGCGGACGTGTAGCCGTGGACCTGATCACTGTATCGCTCCAGACCATGTGTAAAAATTGGTCCTGTAAAAAGTGAGATATGAGCGCAACCAAACGCCTGTACTATTAGCTGGCTTGTTGCTGATGGTACTGTTTATTTATATTTGATGCGATGAAATCACGACACGAAGTGCCGTGGAATCGTTACGCAAGAATTTCTTTCGTGCTTCCTCTCTAAATGGTTGAAGTTAAGCTTTTTGTGAAAATATCAGTGCATCCCTAAAAGACTGCTGTTTGTGTCTGTGAAATCGGTTTCTCGAAAAAAAACATGAGGAAAAGATTAACTTTCCTATGCATGGACCTTTTGACCGTATCGAGCCTACCCAGTCTGACCCATGAAGCAAGTTGACACTGAATGTCGTCGGTGTTCACACCCAAATCTTGAATGACCGTATCGAGCCTACCCAGTCTGACCCTTGAAGCAAATTGACACTGAATGTCGTCGTAGGTGTTCACACCCAAATCTTGAGCCAGTACGGAAGAGGAAGCAGGGTCCTTTTAGAATGAAACTTAAGTAGTAGACCACAGTATGAGTTCCTGAGACTGAATCTGACTGGCTGCATTAGGTCTTACGGTTCCCTTCCCATAGAAGGATACAATCGAGTACATACTTCAATGCACGTTTTTTACTTATCCCACCAACGTTATTGTACTGCGTCAGTTTCTTAGACTGCGGTCGTTCAGCTCCATGTCACTGTCATAACTTCCCGTTTTGGGTGAATTAATGTCTTTGTCCACAATCGCCAGTGTCAGGCTTGTTGCCACAGCGAATAGTGTGGGGCCGCACACTTGCTAAGCAGTTCGTTGAATCCATCTATTTTAGTCGAAAAATAGTGTGTACCACCAACCGAACCAATCATCGTCATTATTGACCAACACCAGGTGAAAACACTGACGCTTTACTGCCACAAGCGATGGTCTATATGGCATGAGATTATTTGTAAGTATGCGATTCATCACTGCAACTCGGCTAGGTTACCGCCAGGGCACCCATCCTAAACAAAGGGATAAGTAGGGTCCTCACCCAGGTCCTTTGCATCAAAAGTTGAACCGCAAGGCAGTGATAGTTGGCGCGAGACCCTGCAGAGCAGCATAACTCTTTCAGGAGCAAGTCGGCACACATGTTCCAACCGTCAAACTGGTGGACCCGGAGTCTGTTAGTCAGATCTCAATTCATTGACCTGCGAATGTTACAAGTACAATGTTAGGGAGGTTCGCAGAATGTCACATCGCGGTAAGGTGTGCTCTCTTCGTGATGGAACTGAACTCGAGGTACCTGAGTAGTTTAAGGCGCAAACTCACTAACCGATGCATCCGTTGCTCAAACCCAGCCTCGGCTTCTTGACTGCTCCTGTCTAGCCTTGGAAAAAGTGGCAATTCCTTGGCTCTTGTGCTTCCTCCGGGCGGCATGGTAGCTAGGCCCCGAAAGGGTGTTACAACTGAAGGAACTAATCCGATTCCTTTTTCTTTCTTCAGAAAAGTGCAGTACTTTGAAAACGCCCTAATATACTGATAGCCCTGGGTGGTTTGACACCAACTGATAAGCATTCCAACGACTAGGTGCATTCTGCGTTCGATTCCACTCGATATCAGTGTAACACCTTAAGTGATCCAGACACGGAAGAGAAAAGGAAACATCATATTACATGAGACAATCGCCATACCTTTTTACTCACAAAAGAGAGACTGTGTAAATCTGAAGAAATATGAAATTGCGTCGGGGAAGAATTGCAGTCCAGGTTAGAAGCCAGAATCATAAACTGCATTGGGTGCCGCTCTTTGACCGACTGAGATTCAGAGGACAAGGGAAATATATCTGAATGCGTCGCCTTCATGACCATCCTACGTCTCCCCCCTGGTGTTTATTGTTCCCAGATTCCATGAAGATTGTCAGTTTCTTTATATCCAGTGCTTAGTCTTCGGGTGGTTTCCAAATAAAAAAATAATTGTTTAACTGTAGCACCCTTTCGGTGCCTAACTGCCATGCCACCAGAAAGATGCACGAGGGTTGGAATACTGCCAGGTTGCCCAAGCCTAGACAGGGGAAGTGGAGAGAGAGATATATCAGGTTCGAACCATGTACCTTCTGGCTCTAACCATGCTGGTGATCTCTACATCAACCAACTCCTGTAGTGTTTCTTGACTTGAAGGCTGTACTTGACTCCGTTGATCGTTGGGCGCTATGGCAATAAGCGTGGTGCCAAAGTGCCGTCATAAGTTCTGGGCCTTCCTTAAAGCGTTTTACCCCAACTCTCATGAACGTGTAAAGTTGTACGGTAACCTCTCGCTACATCCAGCGGTGTCACGCAAGGCTATCTTCTTTATCCTTTTCTCTTCAACTTTTTCATAAGTTTGATGATGGAACTTTCACTCTCTACCTGTGGGATCGAAATGTTCCCAGGACCTTCACTCACAGATAACGAACTCGCAGATAGCATAGCTTTTCCTGAATCTGACCCCGCGAAAATGCAGACGGTGTTCAATAATCTGAGTGACCCTGGTTCCCTGTTTGGTAGGTCCTGTACGCATGCAAAGTGCCGCTACAAGACTGGGTAGGATCAAAACCAAATCTGCCTTCGAATGAACCGATTGAGGTAGTAGACAAGTTTATCCACCTGAGTGAGTGTATCATTCTCGGGGTTTCATCTAAAGGTGACATTTCCGTCCGGATTAGGAAGGCCAGAATAGCTTTCGTCAAACTCCGTCAAACGTGGCACAGGTGTGACACTAACCAGCCTCTGCCACCAGCCTCTGCATCTCGACTGCTCCTGTCCAGGCCCAGACAACCTGGCATTCCTTGCGCTCAGCAAGGCGTTGAGAGATGACCACAGTTGAGCTTTTATTATGTTTTAAAGAATGGCCAGACAGCAAAGTATGAAAGCCACTACCAGAAATCTCATCCGTACCGGTCGTTTCCGTCTACCTCGATGAGGATCACGAGACGGGAACACCAGTGCTTGGAGATATTGGCAGGCATCGCCCAATTGCGCCCATCCATCCAACCTGTTGACTTTAATGCATAGCTTCCCCTCCCGATCTGCCCAGTGAGAAGTCCTGTGTCACTTCTTGATTCACGCGTCAATTGTATTGGCTACTGCTTCCAATACGTAGCTATCCATCCTTATTTTCCCAGATCTTCGACGAACGAGACTGGCGGCTATAACCGCTGTACAACATGTACACTGATGATGGTGATCCCAATTTGGCAGCGCATCTAATGTGGTTTTTGTGTGGCATTAAATTCCTCCGTGCGTCAGTCATCAGACCCCGTCTGATCCAGGTGGGATTCGTCAATGGTCTAAACCCGCGCCAGTGCTCAGCTGTCAGCATATGATGAACATGTGAAGAACAGCTTCCCAATTTAACGGTCTGAACGGGGCATGCGCTCAACGACAATATAAAGTCCACTGTCGCAGGTGATACTCAACGGTGAACATCCGGAACGGATGTGAAGCCGGCTTATGAGAGCCACTTCTTGTTAAATCTATCTATAGAGGACACTGTTCAGTGGTATTCTGAATTCCTAATGTTACCCTGTAGATTGCGTTAGATCCTACGGAACTGTGAATGCACACTTAGTTAAAAATCCGAGAAGTGTTGTGGACATCGTCGAACGGAATTTCCTTCAAACTCTTTGGTATTGGTTAGGGCTGGACGGCTCTCATTGTAGTCGAGGCATACTTCTACCACAATGGGAGCCTTTCACTCTCGGTCATGCTAATTGATTCCGCGGATTTTGCGAGATGCTACAAGATTCTACCCTATCCGTTGGTGGAACTACCGGATTTGACCACACCGTAGGGACTTATGTTCTAATCGCCTCAATAATCACCCCACCTGGAACGTGATATGTTATGCCTAAACTTGCACTCAAAAGCTCCTGTAGGTCTATTGTGCAAATCTCGGTTATGGGTCCTCTCGTGTTGTCCGTGTTTGCATCGGCTAGCTTTCTTCGATTGATTACATTTTACATTAGAAGTCACGTGCCATATCCTTATTCCGCTTCCTCCCTCCCTACACAGCCCGTACGACTGTCCTTGTCCCGGTGCCTCATGCAAATGGTTGGGCGAACTGGAGCAAGTCATGCCGCATTTAATGCACCATCACAAAAGCATCACAACGTTACAAGGTAACTTCGTTTCCATACAATCCCACCCGATTTGTGATGATGGTGATGATTTGCACCACTGTTTTCATCGTTGGTCTGTTCCATATACACCCGCGCTTTTCACCATTACTCGGTAAGTGACAGGTCCCATAGGAAACCACAAACCACTAATGTACACGGGTGTTAAGTTCAAGGTCTCAAGTACGTAGGAAATCGTGGTACCGTTCGCTTCAAGCTTTTTTCAGTAATATATTCCTATAATTTTACCTCCAGACCTGCACAAACTGCCTGGGGATGCTTGTGCACATGCCTCCTGCAGCCACCAACTGGTCTTTGAAGTCATAGGCGTTTGGGTCTTTGTATGCTCGATGTGCTATGAACCATGTCCCGTGAGTCAGTCAGTTGCCCAACCTCTTCAAAGCGAAGTCATGTTGGGGTTGCAGAAGTGAACTGCTGCTGACATATCACCCTCTGCCTTCTTATGGCAGCTGGTAGTAGTATCAAGCTCTCCTTTAATTGGATATAGACACCCGAACCTTACCAATCATTCTCTATTACTCATTTACACATTCCGTTAATTGGGAACACTTCAACTTTTGGTATAGGTCTCAACAGTCCGCAGCTCCTGGTGATGGAGGGATCACCTGACCTGTTCAAAGAAGGTAAAGGCCAATAGCATTTCTTAACTAGGTGAGAATACGAATCATTTATCATTTGAAATCGACGACGGGTTGTATGTTCATTGCCACCAGGCGCACGAACTTATTACAAGCATGGTACTTGCTAATAAGAAACCCATTTCGCTCCGAGTGTGCTGGTGTTGTTTTTATCCTCTTCTTCACTGAATTGTTACACCCACTCCGTCCCAGCCTCTCCGCTACCACAAGCTGCGGTAACCCAAACCACCATACATGGTGGTTCATGGTTTTCAAACTGAACTGAACTGAGCCGTCTTCACTGGATATCTCGAGCAATGACTTGATGAGTTGGCCATACGCTGATGAATAATTCAAAACATGGTAGTGCCTCGTTTTCCACGGAACACCATAATATTATGTAGATAGTTTGCACTAACTGCTTACGTCGATTCAACAGCGTTCAGGTGAGCTACTCCATTTTATTGTCTAGCTGTGTGTCCGCAGTTGCGAGCTTCCCCTAGCCCTGAGTACGTATGACCTACATTTTCTTGACATCCCTACACTAAGTGAACTTTCCGTCTTGTTTTCCGCAGGTGAGGATATCGTATTTTTAGCCACTGATATCAACCTCCCCGGTGCCGTGGATTGGGTCATGATGCAGTCTTGCTTCGGGCACAGTTTTATGCTTGTGCTGGAAAAACAAGAGCGCGTGCCGGATCAAATATTTTTCGCCCTGGTCCAGCTGATCGGCACACGGAAACAGGCCGAGCAATTTGTGTACAGGTAGGATGCACACAACTCCTTACTTTCCTATCGCGCGGGTGTTAATCAGTGGGTCATCACTTCATGCACGCTGTTCGTGCTCTAGACACCGTTTCTAAGTGACTGCCTCATCGGAAGCGCTGGCCTCTAGGCTAGTTCATAAGCCAATCGGTTTGGTGCGCTTCACACCTGTTTGCTCTTAGCTCTTCAGGTTTTCCGGATGACGTGAGCTCGTTTACCTCCATCTTGCCTTCTTAGTGACCCTATCTTTAGGTGGGTCGTTTTCTCATTGTCTCTTGATGAGCCAGCGCTCCTCAGAGTAACAACTACGTTGACCTCGCTAGGTTTAGCAGTGACATCTGCCTCACTCATTTCCGTGGATGGCTTCTTGTTTGTAGCCAAAAATGGTAGGATTTGGCCTTCGAAACTGTTGTACGGCCGCTAAGTGCCACAACGAGTCTTCCGTAACAAGAGAATCCACCGGAATTCTCTTTGAAGAGAACTTGGTCTTCTTGGCCATAAATAGATGAAAAACATCCACAAAAGTTGCATGCTTTATGATCCACTCATTTGTCAGTCTAATCGATCGTGTTCTGGTGATTTTGCATAAAATTATTCCGCCGAAACAAACTAAACGTAAATGTTCACACGTATCACATGCTAGTAATGGTCACTATGATAGAAAAGCTCCAGTCGGTTTTGTCCATTTCGTCGATATTGTTATTTTTTGGATAATAGTCATCCTATGCAAGCTCACTTGGCGGTTTTTACACGAGCTTTGGATACTTCAGATGCTTTATCGCGCCCATTACCACTACTTAGTACTGAGGGAGTACCGGCAGTTAGCGTGTTCTGGATGGACAGGACAAGTTGACATCAAGTTCTGGTGTGATTCAACCGGATTTTTCTTAGAATGGTGGTTTTTATCCGTAGTGCAGCTCATTCCTGAGTGGAACTCACTGTCGATCAATACGGCGTTGATGCCTCGTTTAATCAGTGTACTTTGCGGAGTCAGATCCAACGTGGACCCTGGATCTGTCCAGCTGGTTTGGTCAGTTAGACAATTACGTTGTTGTGGTCTACTCAAACAGTATTCGTCACGTTTGAGCAGCTTGGTTGACCAAACGCTATTTGTGCAAGAAGAATCAAACAGTCAGAAAAATCCCGACGTCGGGAATTGGTTCCTGAGGAATCACTGTTCTGTTCCATTATCATATGCACCTCATATCTGATTCTCATCCCTTATTTAGATTGGAGCTGAATGGTCATCGTCGGCGCCTAACTTGGGAAGCCTGTCCACGAAGCATTCACGATGGTGTACAGTCAGCTATTAGCAGCTCAGATTGCCTAGTTTTCGATCTGAACACTGCTCAGCTGTTTGCCGACAACGGAAATCTCGGCATCAACGTGACCATCTCCCAGGTCCCCTCACGCATCTGACCGGACGCGAATCACTTCCCGTTGTTGCACAGATGAATCCAGCCGCCACCCGCTCAGGGTCGTGAGGAGCTCTATAGCCGCTGTGATGTGCCAAAATGCCTTAATTTTTCTTCACTCAGTTGGTTTCACTCCTCTGCTCTTCTGGACCAGTCGTATTGGTCACTTGCCTTGCGACCGGAACGAACCGGAAGTTTTCCAGCGTGATTGACCTGCCGTCAATTTGTACATAGTCACTGACTCACATACACACTTGCATGATCATCACATGTCGTCGCTATGGTTTTTAACGGGGGCAGCAGGATTGAAAATGTTGCTAACATGTTGGTCGTTTGTGGTTTCCGATGAAATAATCCATTCAAAAAGTGTTTCGTGCTTAGACCGTCTGCCGGGAGAAGCATATCCTGGTGAACACGCTCCATCACCGCTCGGTTGTTAACTCCGAGAGTGCGAAAATTCGGGGACATCTTTCCACAATATCAATTTTATGGGGACATAAGTTATGCTGTGGGTTACGAAGAAGCATGGATATCATACAATGAATATGAATAAGAAAGCCCATAATTTGTTGGACACGTTATGGCCACAAAAATATAATAAATCTACTGGTTTGTGCCTAGTTAAGTTTGGAGCGTACATGCCACCAGTTTCCCAGCGTGAAATGTACTTGGTTGCAACAGGCGGTTCAGGCGAACCATGCTGCGAAAAAACAGACAAGTTGGGAAAACAGGTTCGTACATCGCTCATTAAAAGGTGCACTCCCTCCAACTTGGTTGAACAACGGAGAAGTCATGGAGGTGTAAAACTTTCCTCTGCATTGACACCCATCATCAACAACAATACACCAGTAGCGAATGCCGTCGTACAACCATGAGGAGACAATACTGTGGTGAAAGGAAGAGAAAGGGGAAGTGTACGTAAGCTCTGTGTTTAGAGGAACCTAGAATGTGTTGTGTTTACACCTGTGGACAGCAACGAGCTAGACGCATCTGGGGGTCATTCTAGTAAGACGCCATCAACGGGGTAGACACAGTAGTTTTTGCAAATCTCACCCAACATGAGCTCGGTATTCTAGTCACTGGAACCGACTAATTGTCATACTCTAGGATCTACAACTTTGCACAAGGACAGTCGTGTGCTCCAATCCTCAGTGCATGCACTGGTGCTACCTTCTCGATTGGTGAGGACACGTTTGCACTCCAGTTGCCAAGGTCGGCGATCAGATTTTGGCAGACAGTGCTCCGGAGTTATCCATTTTTCGGAATGTTGACAGGTGCTGGGGTCCAGTGTCCCTGAACTTAGCATTAGCCGCTTTCATTTCACGTTTCCATGTTGTGGGCTTGTCCTCCGCGAACCTTTCACTAACAAGATTTCTGGTTGCGAAACACCTTAAGCCGATGATTGTTCTCGTGGTTCTGATTCACTATCATGTATCTACTTACGCCTCACTCCTTCCCCCCATCAATTACTGACGCGTTGATGAGACACGAACTTCGGTTGAGTTTTGATTAACTACACGCTGACATTATGAGGTCTCGACCTAAAGCCGCCACCTGGACGTGGTGGTCGGACTTAATTACTGCAATGATTCCGTGCGCTACACTGGCTGGAACTTCTTTCCACAAGGTACAAACATGTCAGAAAGACCAGAGGAAAGCAGTCAGACCAAGAGCAGCAAAATCCCTTACTACAAGTAATCGTGCTACGAGGTGGTCTGGGGGTAAAGTTGTACCGACGCACTACATATCCTCGACTCTGCTGGTTTTTGAACTCGAATGTCTGACGTGCGAGTCGTGCGCGTTACCACTACTTCACCAGCGCACGCTGTGCGTATCCGAGTTTTCACGTCTGAGCAGGTGGACATGTCCGTGTTTGAGTGATGTTATTAATTTGTTCGACGACGCAGGAACTGTCCTGGTTATATCGATCGGCAGGCTCGCCTATCACGGCTTTCGGCAAATGCTTAAGATCTGGATAAGCTTTGGATTAGTTGCAGGTGGCCTCGGGGTAAGGCGGTGCCGCCTGATCGGCTGAATGATAACTGGACACAGAAGCGGTCGTTCTCGTATTTGTATTGCATTTGCCTCTACATCATAGGTCGATAGTGCGCGCGTTAAATGAGGATTGTGGTGCCTTTTGAATGGTGTGAGCATAGGTTTCGAGGCAGTGTCTGCCCGAGACACAGAAGTTCCAGGACTGGTTCATGATCCCTATTTCAGCACTTTCGGTAGGCGTAGAATGTGGAGTGAAGCTAACGATGTTTTTAGACAATCTACCTCTATCAGGACTGTACACTTATGAGGTCTCGACCTAAAGCCACCACCTGGACGTGGTGGTCGGACTTAATTACTGCAATGATTCCGTGCGCTACACTGGCTGGAACTTCTTTCCACAAGGTACAAACATGTCAGAAAGACCAGAGGAAAGCAGTCAGACCAAGAGCAGCAAAATCCCTTACTACAAGTAATCGTGCTACGAGGTGGTCTGGGGGTAAAGTTGTACCGACCTCTACGATAGGAATGTGAAGGCAGCAAGGTGTTTCCCCAGGCGACCAACATACCCAAAGGCGTGGAAGCAGCGCTGCTGCCTTCTTTCCTAGGAAGGGCGGGTTAGAAGAGGTCGATCCTGAAACCCGCGCACTCGGGTCAGGCCAATCCCCTGCAGCCGAACAGGCCAGACTATTGAATCATCCGCTCCTGACAGGGTCCCCAAAGAAAGCCCTACTATCTGCTGCTTCACGAGTCAAATTTTCGCCTCAAAGGGTAGGGACAGAGTCCCTGAACAAAACCCTACATCCTCCCGGTGCCCTGTGGATCAGGCTTGAGTCAAAGGCCCAAGGTTGGGTACCTCAACCAAACCCACTTCTTCGACTTAGGAAACTGGGAAGTATCATTTGTCCGCACAGTTCTGTGTCCGCCGATGCCCCTCCCCAACCCACTCCCACCACACAAGCAAACGTTGCTGGGTCACTTGACTGTCAGTTATCTGGCCGATGGGTCTTATGCACCCTGCTGCCTACTGACAGTAAACAAGTAGACACCTCTCTAAATCCACGAGATCCTTTCTACATAAGAGCTTTTAACATCCATACTGTATGTCAAACTGGCAAGCAGACAATGTTTGCTGAAACCTTATACTCCCCAAAAATTGATGTTCACAGCTTTGTATCCACAACAGACCCAGCTAGAAGCACCTTGCAACGGTGCAAAAATATTTTTTAAAAAACCACTTCAAATCATACTCCGCACGGGAACCTTTTGGTTAGGGACCACTCGAAATGTTACATTGGACGAAACTCTCCAATGTGATTCAGGCCTCACAATATTGAAACTCGCCACACAATCGCACAATTGCTGATTTTCTAACAGCCAGTCCGAGTTGCGGTAGAAGGCCCCTTAGATGATTACGCCATTTTATGCCTTTGATGAGAGGTACTTAGCCAAAGTATAAATTATTGATTTTCTGATTTATGAGCAACTCGTCCAAATGGGCCTCTAGATAGGCCGCTTGTAGTAGTTCTCAAGTATACACATGCCGTCCATTCGGACCTCACAGGTTATTTTTATCCTCAGCAGAAGTTAATGCGACCCGAGTTTTTCAAAGTCGGCTAATTCAGCCACTGATTTTGCTATCAGCCGGAGAAGAACATAGACGAGAGATTCGGCAGGGTTCCGGATGAGGCTCCCGTCAATGCAATTGAGTGTATTTCGCTAACAAAGGTTACTGTTTACGTGCCATGGCAGGTCGATGCGATTAAATGTTTGGGTTTTGGTCTGTTTGCCGAGCTGAGTCTATCATGACTCGGACGTCCATGATCAGTGTCCCTGGTGCTACCTGACTGGAAAGTTCTGACAGGCGGGACAGTCAGTCGGTGCAACCAGGATAGTTACTGGATCGTATTTCGGGGCATCGGGTAAACGAACCACATCGCCCAAACGTGAGTAACACCATCACCTGTTAACATACGATTCGGTTGTGTCCAGGGTGAGCTGGTGAAGCAATGGTAACACGCTTGCCTCGTATATCAGATATGCGGAATCGGAACCCCGGGACGACCAAAGATGTGCACTGCTGACGAGCCCTAATCCGAGCTACACTCGAGTCCCGGCCCTTCCTCGCGTCTGGTGTAGTCTCTTTAGAATGATTGAAACAGGACAGGAGGACGGCTGTTCAAAATGTGAACTCTTTTGTTGTACAACCAACAACAGGATGTTTTCTTGGTGATCGTATTCCACTTTTTGGCCAAACGTAAAACAATTACTTCGCAGTGATGGTGCTACTTCCTGAATCAAAGACAGATTTAGTGAGTGTGCCATGGATGGTCGAGATCCCTGATTGAGACTTTTCTCCTTCTTGCGTACTGTATGCTGCGAACCGATAGGGTCCGATGGAAAAGTCGATCTTATGGAAGGCTCTTTGTAACGATGTTCGATTTAGCGTTTCTATATGATTCAATGTTTGAGGCGCTAACTTACTGATGGAAAGGCCTATCCGCCCCGATATCTCGACTGCTCCTGTCCAGGCTTGGGCAAAATGACAGTATCCCAGCCCTCGTGCTTCGTTTGGTTAGTATAGCGCTACAGCTGAACGGTTATTATTATTTATGGTGGCGTTGTGCTGTACTGAAGCCATGGGACTTACGACTAATCAATTCCCTGTAATACGGGCTCACCAAATTTCAGGGAATGAACCTGATTACATCAGACTTCAGCCTGTGGATTTTCTTGCGATATCCACTGCTACACTCACTGACAGTTATGTCTTTCCCGTCATTTCGCTTGGGGGTTTTCAATCTACTGTATACTTCAGCGCAGAAGTAAAATTCTGGTCAGGTTTGTCCCGGTTCTCATCAGCCATATGCTCGAAATCCAGAAATAACAGTGAGGAAATTGGTGCTGTCTCCGAGTGCAAGTTGAAAATTACTCTTATTATTGTTAAAAGTCATTATTGCGAAGTCATTGAACCCTGATAAAGCAGTATAATTAATTATCTCATTGGCCTCACGTACACAACCGGTATCCGACATTCTGTATCCCGCATCTGTTTAACGACAACTGGTACCTGATATGGTACCCATACCCCGAAGTCAGCACCCAAAGTCATTTGACGTCCCAAACCCAGGCTAGTCCATATGTTCTGACTTGCCTGCCACAATTGTGTTCACGTTGGCGGCCCATTGCTCTGGTTATGTACAAAGGGGGGGGGGCTAGCGCTGCCCAAGGGAGTCCATTTTAAGCTTGCCGTGGAATCACCCAACGGACATTGCACCAGAGAAAGGACTCTTGTAAGGGTGATGACGATTAGGCTTCAACTAACTGCCCAAAAACGTGCAGATGTTCCACTCTTGTGAGATGCTCGGAGGACAACGCGCATCTGTTTGAAATTGCGTAGATCATTGCGAATTTTCAAGAGTGAAAATTCCTCTCCGAAATAAAAGGCTGATCTTTTGACATATGTAATTTCATGTCCACAAGACTGTCCAATCGCGTGCATTTACGGTTTGTTAGTGAATGTACCTGTTAATGCGTTCGTTGAAGTGAACTGACAACGCCACCCAACATAGAATGTCTCAGTTGGCAAAGATGACTTCAGAAACACGACCCAGAATGTCCCTTTGATTTTTGCAGTGAAACCAGTAAGATTACTGAAACGTCTAAATTTAGCACAATTCTGACGGTTATTCAAATCCACGAAACGTGAATTGTAACATCCAGTGAAGATCACAAATCGCGCAAAATGTATGCATTGTCTAAATGTCAAAAAATTGTGAAAAGTTGAACCTGTAGCAAAGATGTTCTGCTAAGTGGACCTTGCAAAGCCAACACGACTTTGTTCCTTATCAAAAACCGTATAATATGCGCCAATAAACACGTCCCCCAGAATCCACATGGGCACACCAGGAACCTCCATGCCACTGAATCCACTGGTACAGACAGTCCGACCCCAGTATGACATCTGCGGAGAAAAAGTTGAAATGGAAGAGTGATTGGAGAAAACTCGCAACGGAATAAGCTTCCTACTGTTTATGTGATGAGTAGTCTATCCATAAAAAGAGCGCTTGTTTTCAGTCGGGCGAAGTGTTACTGGACGAGCTAGTCAGGGGTCCTGTCAAGACGCATGCATCTCTTAGTCCCATTGAGGCACAAAGTGACCACAACTCTCACCAGACTCCCTTAGCTGAGGAGGCAGCTAGAGCTGTTCGCGGTCGATCGCCCATAATAACTTTGAAACCAAACGGAAGATACTACTGATGAAGTTAGTAGGAATTCCCCGACAACCGGCCAACAATTTCGTTTTTTGGGCGGCCATCAGGTAGGGACAGTCCCAGAATCACCCTCAACCTACTTGAACCCACACTAAGAAATTCGCAAAATGCACTCATCGCACAGCGCTTTGTTTTTAGCGAAAACTCACCTGAATCCTTCGTTTATCGTATCCTTCAACTGAATTTGCTGCAACAAGCCACCCTTATGTTTCATTTGGGATGATATTCGAGATGTGGCAGTAAACTGCCCAGTTTCCAGCACAAAAGGGGACAAATTTGTCTCACAGAGTGCGGGTCGAAACGAATGCCTGTAAATCTACTGACCAGTCCAATAGTAATACCCCCTGCACTCATCACTCCTGTTTGTCACGAGGTCACTTCGTCATCTACTACAGGTGACATCGAGACAGTCGCATGTGTAAGTGGATGAAATTAAAAGACAGCCACCAGCCGAGTATAACTTTTGGCCACTGTGACACGCGGGACGAGGAAGCTTGTTTTTGGGGGGGGGGGGGGGCAAACTGACAAAGTCTGGGACAGTCATTTGGTCACGTTTTCAAAGTGGCCTTTAAAACGTTCACTTTCAGTTTCTGCAACAAGGCTGAATCCCAAGCAAGTGCTTGAAACCAACAGTTTTTGCAACCCTTCTGGCTATCTAACGTTTGTAGAAGTATACTAAATGGAGTGGTAAAAGGGGCATTCTCAAAAATCAAAATGTAGTCCATCCTGAAAATAGGGTTAATGTGTGCTGAATAGCTCAGAATCTCCAGACAAATATCACATCATCGATCATCATCAGATACCACATAGTCGTTAGACACCGCATCTCATGAATCACTAGGAAAGTACTGACCAAAAAACTCCCGGTGAGTAAGTGAGCAGTTTACCTTGTAACCACAGGAGGCTGGCCTGCAATATAATTGATCCGCATACTAGGAAAAACTGGTATCGCTCGTCTTTCAACCGCAGTTCACGTCACTTTAGAGGCGAATTCTTCAGTGGACGGCTCCTCTGCACAGATTGCTAACAGCGACATCACCCTGCCGAACTTCCACACGAACGAACTAGAGTTTCAAACTGCTCTATGCCTCCAGTTCCTCTTGTGAAGTTTATGACAACACTAAAAGCTATCATAACTGAGTTGACTGATTTCCGTTACTTCACATACCTCGTCAGCTGATCACATTCATGCTCAAGGTAAGGGTATGACAGGGGGCAGGCAGCTTGGTAGGTAAACATACACAATGTTAGCATTACAGAATGCAAAGACCCGTCTGGATAAAAGTCCTGGTACTGTAGAGATGAGGCAGTGCTGGTCATAACACGGCAAGACAAGGCTAACCACAAATCCTACTTGTTTACTCAAGTTAGGTTTATGGCATCAAATCACCGCCACTCCAACAAAGTGTGAAAGGCACTCATTGTTTCGAAAATTCAAGACTTTGGATAGTTTTCAATAAAGCACACTACCCATAAGGTTGCTGAGTTGAGTCTCCCGTTGAAACTGGTAAGTTTGCTAATTAATGTATCTCACGAACTCTGTCTTGTTGTTTGCATTCGCTACAATCCACCCAGTGGCGAACTATTTATTGCGCTGGATGGACTAGAATGACGGATGAATGGGGCGGTGACTGAGTCAAGCTCTCATAAAAGCGTTCAACTTTAGCAGGGCCCAACAAAACATGACGTATGTTCACAGGACCCAGCCTGGACAAACCATGGGACTGTTTGGTCACCTTCTCTCGTGTATAGCATTTGCTGTAGCGGCTACACCAGAAGGACGGAGAGACGGTTGTCTACGAGGCTTTCTCAACACGTCTCAAAGGAGTAAGCACTCTCACTAGCTCTCTCCGTCCAGTGCAGTCAATCGCCAAGTTTTAGAGTGCAAAAAAACAAAGAACCAATATACTTATACAAAGGAACAAACTGCCAGAACAACAGCCGCTTCGCTGGAGTGGCAGCATTTTGTACTCAACTTGAATAAACAAACCGAAATCAGTGGCTGGCCTCGTCCTGCCTTGGTAAGGCTGATATTGAGTCATGTCTATTTTCACCTAAACGGATGTGGAAGCTGATCTCTTTTGCGCGCTTTAATGATTTCACTGTAGCGGTTGTCTGTCAAATTATATCCCCGTTATTCTGCCCTAACCTCGATTCAGTTGGTTGAATTCGGCCAGTCCTGTTATGAGTTGCTTCCGCTTTCTCGTGTGGAATTTCAGAACTGGTCGTACGGCTTAGAACATCATTTCCCTACTTTTATAGCAAACCCTGAAGGGAGTCGATCGAAACTAGTCTCCCTTGGACGGGTCGGACGGCACGAATGGGGGCCGCCGGATAAGCCAGCAGTGGTCATTTTTCTGGAACGCAAGTCATTTCACTTATCCCAAGCCATAAGAAAACTCACCTCACGCACATAATCTGTCGCTTGCAAAGTCAGTTTTTCTCCATTGATTGAGAACTCTATTGGTGGCAACGTATGTATTTGTAGACAGTCTAGCAAGTTCAGTCCGCCCTCTATTGGAACAGCTCCAATTGCGTCGTTGAGTTGCTTGACATCATCAGTGGGGCCGACAATCAATGACGTTCCTGTATCGACAATGGCCTGACAGCCCTGGGCACACAGGGTCAGACTAGTTAATTGAATGCTGGCAAAAGGAAGAAACTGGAGTTCAGGCTATACAGATCACAGCAAACCGAAACAGTAGCTATATACCTTGAGAATCTCCGGAAATTTCGCTCTCTTTGAATTTGATGCCAAAAACTAACTAGAGCAATCAGTGTTCATGTGAGGCAAACCCAATGGAAGGGGGGAAAAATGCATTGTTTGAGTGAAGACGAAACACTTTGAAAAAGACGGTGAAATGAATTTATTCTTGTAAAACAGAATGAACAGGAACAATGCGTCGCTGGTCATGGAAACCAGGGTAGCTACAGAGAAACCATGAAAGCATGTGAACTTACAGTATAGGCTTGGACCAAATGAAGAAAACCGTAAGCTATAACACCATTTGTGTGCCTAGCCGCCATACCACTCGTAGGGGGCGGGGTACCAGGTTGCTCAGGTTTAGGTAGCAGCAGGTGGGATGCAAAGGCTGCGTTCGAAGCATCGACCTTCTGGTCATTGATTTGGCCCATTAAATAACGAATTATCTCAAGATCAATTCGAGAACCACTTTACAGCTGCTCATAAACAATACACACTTCAAGAAATAAGCTGTAACACCATTTTTGTGCCTAGCCGCCATACCACTCGTAGGGGGCGGGGTACCAGGTTGCTCAGGTTTAGGTAGCAGCAGGTGGGATGCAAAGGCTGCGTTCGAAGCATCGACCTTCTGGTCATTGATTTGGCCCATTAAATAACGAATTATCTCAAGATCAATTCGAGAACCACTTTACAGCTGCTCATAAACAATACACACTTCAAGAAACTCCAGGCAATTTCGGGCCCGCGACCTCCCGGTTAGTAAGTTGAACACTTACTTGATCGGACACGATCCCCCAGTTGGGTCCATTGAGCAAACGAACCCAGGAATCTCGGTCTATCTTTTCAGTTGCCTTGTGCAATGACCTGGGGTGAGCAGCGAATCTCAAACCCGTGCCCTGCTTCAATAAGGGACCTAATGACCGATGCCGCAACTTCTGTCTCGACCAAAGTAATTTTGGATAACAATTTACAAATCCATTTGGATGGACACGCTTGGTTATTCCTCTTAGCGTAGGAGTCTTTCTAACCAGGGACGTCATTCTATCTCTGTTTTGTGGTAGTCTTCGTTGAATATAAGCCGAGCTACTATCAAGTGGGAAGATACTGAAGATGACTAAGCATTTCCTGGATATGACAGCGCTTATAATATAATGAGCAGACTCAAAACGGAACCTAGACACCGAAAGGGTGTTACTGCTGCACAATTTTTCATTTGCATTTATATTTTTGTGTCGTTGTATACGTATCGTATGTATCGGGGACGAGATGGCTCAAGTTAGAGCGCGAAGTAACTGACCGGAAGGTCCGTTGTTCGAACCTGACCTCTGCCTCTCGACTTCCCTGTCTAGGCTTTGGCAACCTGGCAGTATCCCAGCCCTCGTGCTTCCTTCGGGTAGCATGGCAGCTAGGCACCGGAAGGGTGTTACAGCTGGACGATTTTTTATCGTATGTATTGTACGTATTATATATATGCCATTAGTAACACGAATGGATCTGAGCATCCGAACCTAGATTTCATTTCCGTCCCGGGAAATCGAACTCATCATGGTCAAGCTAATCAGAATGCTGCCAGCAATCACGATATCACAATGATATATCAAGATATATCAACGATATTACACACTTTTCAGATAAGCCAGCTGTGGAAGTCACTGGTAAATTAATGGGTGACACTTTCACATTAAAGAAACTGATATGGATCGTACTTCGTAAAAGGGAAGAAATCTGTCTGGATTTCATGCGGACCACCTTAGGCTGGTATCATCTTTCGGCCACAACAGATTCCTTGCAAGAACGCGCACACGACGGATAATCTCCATAAAAAGTAAGTCGATTGGATTAATGTGCCAACCGAAACCAACTTGACAGAACTCAGTCTAAAATGTTGGAAACCAGTGTACTAATTCATTACATCTACCTGAGTTCAGTTTTTGATGTCATAATCTCAAGCAAAAATATGCACTTAGTTGACCACGCAACTGCGTACGGAGGAGGCCTCCTTGGATGTTGATCAGACGTTTGAGAGCCAGTTTCTAAGCTCGGCAAAACGAATCAACCGTCACATAATCAGCATTTAGTTAGTTTCACTCTTTTCAAACGAATACCTAGTCCGTGGAATCATGCACACAGCTCAAATACGATATGTACGGAGTCACTCACCCGGCCATGTCAATCTGCCAGTATGTTTCCGCACTCAATGGAACAAAGAACATGTCGCCCGTGTAACGTCCCTTATCTACTCCTCCAAACATGATTTCTCCACCAATGTCTTGGACGTCGCCGCTGAAAATAAATTGCAACCTGTCGTCAGTAGGTTAGGTCACTGAGTAAATCAGTTAAAAGCCTATCAGAATGGTTAGAATTTGGGGCGTGACTTTGAAACATGAAAGGCAGACGATCGCATGCTGATACATTCATTCGATCAACCCTTGCTTCCCCACAGTCAGGATGAAATGCGAGGTGGGTTTTCTTCTCACAACTAACCACTGCCATATAACCACCACATGTAGCAGTTACAAACCCTTGACCAGCAAAGCATCAGGTTCTGCGTGAGAAGCTAGTAGCCAGTCAGTCAACAGAACTGCCATGCCATGTTACGTGAAGTCTTCCCGTACCCAGTAAATGCAGATGCTTATTCATGATACGCCGATCAGAGGAATGAATCGCACGGGGCTGCCTTTGGGTAGTATTATCCTACTTAATCGATTCGTTAATAACTAGCTAACTAAATAATTCATTAATAATTAATTAGTTAATTACCAACCTCGTGGTAAAAGCCAACGAAAGGGCGGCAATGATTTGTATGTCACGTCAATGTTCAAGTGCACTTACCAATCCAGCCAAACAGAAAACAATTGCTTGTCAACCAAACCTTGGGAAATCATGTTATCGAATACTGGAACAACATTATCAACCGCTATTGACTGAAATGCCAAGCCAAGGATGCCATCAAACTTGGCCGCCACAAACACCGAGCCCGGCTCGTTAATAGCCTCACCAAAAGTTTGATCTTGAACCTTTGCGGAAGAAACCTACGTGAAAAATTTTAAATGACGAAGAACAGATTCAGAGTCAACTACCGTCACCACATCCGTACTCAAAACTCCGGACACTGATCCCGTACCATACTGAATTGAAAACGGTTGTCCATTGGCTCTGTAGGTTGAGGATCTCTCACTGTCGTATTTTTGGTGAGTTCTGCAGGCTTCGTTCCAAAAGCTACATCTTTTGGACGGAACCCACAAATTAGACGAACCCGTATCAAAGACGACTTTGAATGGTTGCGGAGGGGTACCGATTGTAATTTCTCCGTAGTATTGAGACTGAAATTTTTAAAAGTAGTGTTGTTGCTCACTTGATTTGAGGCAGAAAAAACTTACGTCCATGTAATTATCCAATTTTTCCGGGAAAGGCTCGTTTGACAGACGTCTTGTCCATTTGGTTCTCACTCGGTCCAAGGCACTTTGAGCATCTTGCACTGTCCGCCTCGTACTTCGCAATGGTTTGAGCGGAACTCTAGAAAACAGGCATAGCAGACGAGTTGTTACCAAACGAACGTGGTAGTTTCGTGAGATTTACATCACTGCTGAAGATTTCCAATGAGGACAAAACGGCGGCTGAGTGCTTCTCGGCTATTCAACAGTGTTTGCTTTATCGACAGGAGGATATCTTGATTGAAAATCTCCGAATCTCCTCACACTGCCAGTCTGTATGTGGCTCAAGTTAAATTTACCCAATGAGTGAAACTCCTATCCAAGGGGTAGTCAGTCAAGGGGCCAGTTAACATTGGTGAACACGTGAGGCGGTTTCTTTGTGATTGGAGAATGAGTGACCCTATATTCTGGACGAAACCTCAGTTGCAAAATATCTCATTGACAGAAGACAACAACAACAGGAACACCAGTAAATAGACTTAAATACACCCTAGAGTTCGAAGTTTTCTCCCAGAACCTGTTTTTTCACTTTGTGGAGTGTGTTCTGAAAAAAAGCTTCTTCTTTGGTACTATAGTTTAATATTATTTTTTGCATCGATTCTGATGAGCACGTTGCAGTCCTTGCCAGTCAGGATATCTGGCAAAACAAGGGAATGGAATCATTCAAACGAGAACCGTGAGAGAATAAGTCAACTTGGAAGGAACTCATGGGCCGGACCAAGTCAAATGGGACCGTGCGCACCGGCGGATGGCGGATTTTTATCTTTGGATTAGTGACGATAGTATCTTTGTGGTTGCGGCAGGAATGTTTTTCAAAAGAATTTACAATTAATTGCAGTGATCCTCCAGGTCAAACCACAAAGGAAGTAAGCGATGTTGATAGGAATTATGGTACTCTGGATTTGATGGGAGACACACAAAACCTAGCTGAATCTCTCGTTTATGGTTTTTCTAAGCAGCTGAAGGTGCTGCAACAGACCACCTTATATTCCAGTTGGCACGATATTTTAGATATCGCGATACACTTTATAGACGCAACACATTACTCATAAGGTTGCCGAAAACTCTCCGATAGCTCACGAATGGCTCTGTCTTTCTTGGGGCTCATCGGGTAGGCGCACTCCCCGAGTTTCCGTCAAACGCATGTTTTACCCAATCCAAATAGGCACATTTGGACAAATTCTCTCATTTACACACGAAGTTGATTTTCAACAACAGACTCAACTGAAATCAGCTTAAATTCTCCCAAAATCTGTCCAATTTCGGCCAAGTAGAACATAAGGTGGACGGAAACTCTGGTTTTTTGCCTATCTGATGAGCCACAAGAAGGGTGGAACCGGTCGTGGTCTGTCGGATAGTTTTCATCAATCTTATGAGTAGTGTATTACGTCAGTAGGAATTCTGGTAGCTCATATTGGATAGATGTGGAACCAGTCAATGAACGGACCCATAGGTAGATTGGTGTTTTGATTCTGTGGAGTGATCATACAAGAAGGTGTGACTAGTGGTCAGGGGCATTGTAGATTTCTCAAAGAAGTATCGCGTTCTTCCAGGAGCCCTCCACAAAGAATGCAACTTCAGAACCAGCCTTGGTCGGTTCTATATTGCTGACTTTGCATCCAGGGTAATAATTTTGATTACGTAAATTGCACTCCGAAAATTAGGACTACATATGGTAGGAAAAGTGCCATATCTTGATTTTAAGTCTACGATTGCTTCACAAGAAATGATGTCAAAGCCGTCCCAAGCAATCCGGGTACAGAATACAAAACACTGAAGCTTTTGGTATACAAGCGAAGTGTAAAAATTAAAGTTTCACATCTCTCCTCAGGACTTTATTTATTTTTAAATGTGAAGAATTCCCAAGAAGCTCACTTACCTCAAGACTTTGCTGGCGCACAATAAAGGCAAAAGTAGCAAGATGGCGTAAAATCGCATTTGAACGAAGCAAGTTTCAGTCTTAGGCAGAAAGCTCAGGGCCTTATGTAGATCTTGCCAAGTATTCTACTCTGTGTTCCATGTCCTCCAACAGTTTAGGGTCCAAAGCTCGTTCTATTCACACAAAAATTTATCTTCTCAGACTTTGGAATCAACATGATGTACTCTCCCATTCATTCATAGTGTTCTTTGATCCTTTGAACTGAATATGTACACACAAGAACACTGTTGCCATGGGTGCCACGGATGTCTGGTTGACTTTAGTCAGTCAGGCGCTTGTCAGATTAGTAAATAAACCATTTTCTGAGGGATCATCCGAAATATGTTCTCCATGTCTTGTATGTGGTGGACAATATTGTTATATGTATCCTCATAAAGTGGACTATCAGTAAACTTATACCTACTATAAATGTGGTTTTTAACCGGGGAGGGGCTAGAAGAATCATTCGGATGTTCAAGGAGATGAAAGGTTTCAAAGACGGCACTTGCTGATCTAACATGTGTTTTGTCCGGGGCATCCAACTTTTGAGTTACTTTTCAATTTTCAACTTTGTTGTCGCCTACTACCCTAGTCTAATATTATGAATCCCAGATATGTGTTGACACTGTCAACCTCTCACGGACAACTCGTTGTGAACTCTGTACTTGTAACAAAGGTCTTATCTGCAATCCTACGAAGCAAGTCCCAACGCTGTACAGGCATAAGCCTGAGGCCAAAGTAAGCTCACAGTTCCGAGGAGACCACTAGAGGCAACAATTGGCCTGTTTTTTGTGGTGCCCTCAGCCTGATCCGGGTAGCTCTCAGACGGCATGATGAACGGCCAGCAGATATTTGTGAGAGGTCTGAAGATGAGCAACCGGCAGAATTCAAGCATGATCGATTACCCCAGTTTGTCTACAAAATTTAAATGACCTTCCACAGCCCAACTGCATTAACCAATCCTGCAGCCAAGTTTGAAACACTGCGCCAGTTCATTCACCAGAGAACGGTGTGTATATCATCTGTCCGTGTCTTATCATTCTACTACTGGTTGTGTTCTCCTATGGTAGATGTGTAGATCCTGTGCAGATGATCTTCAGTGATTTATTTTGCACACAATTGACGCTATTGTTCGTTAATATGCTAATCGTTTTGCCGTTTCTGGGATCAATATTCTTCAGCAACCAGATTTCCTCGAAATTTTGACCTCACATAGGCACTAATTGAAACAAGCCTTATCGCTAAAAGGAGCACTACCTCTTTTGGCTTTTTCATCAGAATAAAACATCCTAATACTCCTATTGACATATTACACTACTCATAAACTCTTCGGCAGAACACTGTTGCCATGGGTGCCACGGATGTCTGGTTGACTTTAGTCAGTCAGGCGCTTGTCAGATTAGTAAATAAACCATTTTCTGAGGGATCATCCGAAATATGTTCTCCATGTCTTGTATGTGGTGGACAATATTGTTATATGTATCCTCATAAAGTGGACTATCAGTAAACTTATACCTACTATAAATGTGGTTTTTAACCGGGGAGGGGCTAGAAGAATCATTCGGATGTTCAAGGAGATGAAAGGTTTCAAAGACGGCACTTGCTGATCTAACATGTGTTTTGTCCGGGGCATCCAACTTTTGAGTTACTTTTCAATTTTCAACTTTGTTGTCGCCTACTACCCTAGTCTAATATTATGAATCCCAGATATGTGTTGACACTGTCAACCTCTCTCGGACAACTCGTTGTGAACTCTGTACTTGTAACAAAGGTCTTATCTGCAATCCTACGAAGCAAGTCCCAACGCTGTACAGGCATAAGCCTGAGGCCAAAGTAAGCTCACAGTTCCGAGGAGACCACTAGAGGCAACAATTGGCCTGTTTTTTGTGGTGCCCTCAGCCTGATCCGGGTAGCTCTCAGACGGCATGATGAACGGCCAGCAGATATTTGTGAGAGGTCTGAAGATGAGCAACCGGCAGAATTCAAGCATGATCGATTACCCCAGTTTGTCTACAAAATTTAAATGACCTTCCACAGCCCAACTGCATTAACCAATCCTGCAGCCAAGTTTGAAACACTGCGCCAGTTCATTCACCAGAGAACGGTGTGTATATCATCTGTCCGTGTCTTATCATTCTACTACTGGTTGTGTTCTCCTATGGTAGATGTGTAGATCCTGTGCAGATGATCTTTATTTTGCACACAATTGACGCTATTGTTCGTTAATATGCTAATCGTTTTGCCGTTTCTGGGATCAATATTCTTCAGCAACCAGATTTCCTCGAAATTTTGACCTCACATAGGCACTAATTGAAACAAGCCTTATCGCTAAAAGGAGCACTACCTCTTTTGGCTTTTTCATCAGAATAAAACATCCTAATACTCCTATTGACATATTACACTACTCATAAACTCTTCGGCAGCCCACGACAGGTTTTGCCCTTATTGGGGCTCACCAGGTAGGCCCCGCGTTTTCGTCAACCTTATGTTCTGCTGGGACCCAAAACACTCATTTGCATATAAGTTTGGTTTTGACGGGGAGCTCATCTGGAATCCAGGTGATTCTCTCGTTTGTGACTTTCCTAAGCAATGTGCTGCACCAGGTTACCTCATGTTTCATTTGGTACAATATTCGATAAACTGCGATACATTGTATAGACGTGGTACACTACTCATAAGTTTGCCAAATCGGTCGTGGGCTGTTGAAGACTTTTCGTCACAACAATATCTAAAACAATTTCCCGAAGTCCAGCGGTTTCATTTTACTCCAGAAATTCCCGGTATGACTTGACTACCTGTTTTTGAAGCGCCTAGTTTTCCAGTCCGTCCTCTTTATTCCAACTAATTTGCACAGCCGATTGTTAAAAAAGTCATGACCCGAAGGGACAAAAATGGAAATCGACCTTTTGTTGTTTTGCGAAGTTTCCGGAAAAAAGTTTGGGCTAACGGCGAGTGTGAAACAATCAGCAGCACCAAATTTGTTGTTGTGAATATTTACTATCATCCTATTCAATATTTTATTTTTCTTGTTGAAAATTAATTACTGGTTCTAACGGGACGATATTGTGACTTGCAACTTATCGACTTCACTATTTACGTTCACTGTGCTGCTCTGGAAATTCCGATCAAAGGCTTTGGCCGCATAACCGCTGCTAGCCCACAAA